AAAAAAAAGAAAGAACAGAAGAAAAATAAAGCACAAAAAATAAGCATTCGGATCACCAAAACATGCAAAAGGAAAGAGCCCTAACATCCTGAAACAAGTCCATGATGCTATGTGTGAAGTCACTCGATTATAACCCTGTCATTTCTTAAGTTACCAGTGGTTATTCATAACGGTATAAAGCATGACAGATAACATACAGAAACATAACTGAAGAGCTAACATCTAGAGAAATCTGTATCATTAACTGTCGAAAACCTACGGAATTACTAATAATGAAACTGGTCGAGAATGACAAGCCGTAATTACTGAACAAATGGTTAAGACGTTCTTGAAATCGGAAACGACGGAAGATACGTGGAAGATTGGATACCATATGAAGCTGAAGGAAATACCCACCAAGGCATCCCGTGTTGAACCAAATTCATAATGTACCAGAAAATTTTTGAGCCGTACCCCAAACAAGTCACGTCACCAACCGAATTACCAGGAAAAAGATGGATATCCTCTCAAACTAGCACAAGAAATCCGTAATTTCCCAGTCACAAACAATAATATCAATCGGCTGCAACAAGCCATTGAAATGATGCCAAAACTTTCAAGGGAACACTTCAAAAGCCATTTACAAGAAAGCAGCATCTTATATCACCCAATCCAATTATTTACTGCCATCGCTGTTGCTGCAGCGAAAAATTTCCGGATTGTTCAAACCTGAAATACAGTGTGCCATCGTTACCAATGGGAAGTTTGTGCAATTATGAAACTCTTTCAACTGATGGGGGTTAACCTTATAGCTAGTCTACAAGATTTTTATACGAGCAGAATATTGACCGTATTTGCACCATCGGATAGGACACCGGTCGTCGAAAGTTGGAAGAAAACAGAATATTAAAGATGACGGAAAGATGGAATTGAAACAAGCGATCAATGATTAATCTGATCAGTCGTACTGTGTAAACTTACACATGTCGAAGGTGTTTGACTGGATAAGGATGGAAAATATAAGAGGAATTCAAGGGCGAGGAAGATGAAAGGTGAATGCGAAGAAAGTCAGGATGACATGAGCTTGAAAAGTCGCCCGCCTGTCTCCTATTTACCTATAGCAAATATGGAAAAACACTATTATAATCACATATGAAAGAGATGAATTTATACTAACTACATGGGAGATAAAATGGGGACGATTCGCTAAAAGGACTTGTGGTAGCATGTATCAAAGGATTATCATATTCAAAATGACAAAGATGAAAATAGAAGGATAGGCAAAGATTAGGTGAGGTTTGCTAAATTACAAGTAAAATCGTATCATTTCATCCTTTTGCAACACAATTTTTTTCACTATTATAAAACAGTAAATTTTTGCATAGTTTCATATAAACATACGTGCATATACACACATACACACACGCATACACATGCACCCGTGCACATACACACATACAACATACAAATACACACATATGCATACACAACATAAGCATATATAATATATGGATTAGAAAGTTGTGCTGACGGTTCTATCACAATATGAATGGATAGATGGAATGAAAAGCATCGGCTTTATAATTAGTCCATCGTTGTGATATTATTTGAAGCGTTGCTTTGAAATAAGTGTCGTAAGAGTGAGAAGGAGAGGAAGGGAAAGAGGGGACACTGCCATATGAAATTACTTGAGTGATTCCACCTGCAACACACACATGCAAACACACGCACGCACACGCAACACACGCGCACACACGCATATACATACATGACATATATACATACCTAGACATAAACATATTATACATAACCGGTAAACAAGTCTGGGAATTCATAAGCAAGGTGTTGTTGGTTGAATGTTTTTGAAGGGATAAAAGCTACCAAATTTTCACCCTTCTCCTTTGTTAAGTGTTTACTGTGTTACTGTCAAATGATTGTTACTTTAATAGTTAATTAAATTTGATCGAAATTTGTGGTATACTATTCTTGATCAAATAACTTCAAGATAATAATTGGTGGCATTCAATTGGGAACATCTTGGACAAGTGATTCGATTTTTTATGTGGCAGGAATCTTATAAATCTTATAAATGAATATCTTATCCTTTTCCTTTCCGATAATCTATTGGTTTCCGGACGAAATTGATCTTCTAGCCTGAAACGATTCACCTCAATGGCCTTCATTTATTCCAGTTCACTAAATGACCGATATAATCACATGATCATCGATAGTTCCTCAAACCTCAAATCGATGACATATGTCACCTTCCTCTCTTTGGTCCCATCATGTAGATGATAAATTACCCTTGTGTATGTTAAGCATTAAAGTGATGTTACCTCATTAATTTACATCAAGAGGACGTCATTCTCTCAATTTTTCTTTTCCCTACTCAACCTTTCCATTAGTGTTCTTTTGCTTATTGCATTGATACTTTTCCTTCACTAATTTCCTATTAATTCATGTTTTACAAGATAATTGAAATAATTTATTAGCGAGGAATATAATTAAAATGGAACAAATCGCTCTGTAACCCATACATCACCTTACAATAGTATTATCTCTTCCTTATAGCTAGCTGTATAAGAAATATATATCCCTGCCTTCAATTTAATCCCTCCTCTGAAACATGCTTTCCACCCTTCCCGAAAGTCAACCCAATACTATCGCTGCTTTTGATTCTAGTTTCCTTGAACAATCTACTGGTGTCTATTGGTGTCTCAGAGCTTTAGTTGGAAACCACTGTAGCTTGTGTATTCAGGCTGTGTGTTGAAGTTTTTGAACTTGGCGCTGACCACCACTGTCGCTCACTGGATCCCCAGATTGTAAATACTACCACTGGCAAGGCCGCTACTACACCGGATACATAAAACACCTGAAATCCGAATTTTTTGAAAAGTAAACTGTGGTAAAAGGGTATCTTTTTAGCAGAAAAGCATTGACACTTATAATATCTTTTGGAGCTGTTTTAGAGCGTTCAGTATCTGTGTTAATGCCACTTCCTACTACTTTACTCTTACATATCAAATTCCGATGATTAATTTCAAAAACGTTTTCATCATAGTTTATCCAAAGCATACCTTGGCCCACTCATCGGCTGCACCATGTTGTACGATATGTTTCGTGAGAAGTTTGTTACCGATACCAAACCATGCAACAAAAAAACGAAATACCTGTGATGATACCTGAATATGGTGGCGCAAGTTGCACCAAAGCCGTTTGCACGCCCGGAGTATGTAAACCTAAAATATCATAATCTTGAGCATCACATCAAACAGTCCTATGCGCATCCTTCAAGGGAAAATCAGATGTTAGATTCTGCATAATTTTTTTGCAAAAAAAAGTACTGGTTCGAAAATTTACGATCGATAATCGAGAAGTATGCTGATGTGATATCACTTAACATAAAAAATAAGTTGGCTAATTGAAGTAAACGAACTACTAAAAATGATTGGAAACCGATTCATTTGTTCAAGAGTCTCGTTTGATTTAGCTAGAAGATGGATAGTTCATTGCAGTTAGTAATTTGAGAATATGTAACACCCGAGAGAGCTAATTTAAAAAAGTAGAATAAGTCCATTGAAAACGTGTGAAACGTGAAATTAAAAATAGACTTTGGATTGAAATACCAAACTGTAAAATGACCAAATGAATACGAACCCGCAAAAAGCATTGCACAACATAAAGGAATTGTTGCCAAAGAAGATCGTTCTCGGTCAAACTGTGGTACCGTAATAATGCACAGTGACAGTCCTGCTGATGCAATACCATTGAATATCTAGAAATGTTTATCTTCTTTGTACAGTATTGTTTACTAATTTCGATATCATGATATGACAAGTTTTTTTCGTTTTTTTAAACAACAAATCGATATTCTCAAGATGAGCAGGATTTATGAGCTGCAATGCAAAATATTCTGGTATGACCATATTTCCACTTAATCTCTAAGCCACTTGGTTAGTTCAGTCATTTCTGGAAAAATCAGTAAACAGTAGAAGTACACTTCATCCTTAACTTTTTTCCTGTTTTGAACTTCACAAAAGGTACCTTACAAATGGTAGTTTTAGTCCAACCAGTGTGTTTTATGAGCCAAGTTGAAAAGCTGGAAGAGAAAGCTTTGCTCATAAATAAACAGACTATGGGACACGCTGAAACAATTCCATTCTTGGCAGGTGCAAAATGCAACACATCACGCATATAATTAGGCAAAAACTGCAGCATGATAACAAGTGGATATTCATGACACACAAGTGCAAAGATCCCCGCCCAAACTGCAGATGATCGAGCAATTGCAGACCACGGCGTGTGACGTGGAGCGGTACGCTTTCCAATTGACTCACATGCTATCCTAAAATTTATTCAAAATCAAAAATTACCCAGAAACTGAAATTCCATTAAATAGCTGTCTTTTCGGCTTTTGATCATTTTATTGTTAAGGTAGGAAGAGTGAGTAATTGGGTTCGTTTCAAAACATGATAGAACAGATTACCGAAAGCTTCAATCAAGATGAAAAACTGCTGTCCTATATTGGCCTGACTAGCAGGTTGAATAATCGATAATTGTGATGACTAAGATCTAAAATATGAAAAAAGGTTAAAGAAAACCTTCGACGAAACAGAAAACCGGACTTCCTGTGGAAAAGCAAACTACACTATAATCACGTTCAATAAAGAACAAGATTTAACAGTGTGAAAAAAACCTGCTTTCGATGAATGTCTGTTCCTGACGTGATATGCAGTACTGCTTGGAAGGTTTGTCAGCTCCCATCGGAATCCAGAATAACGCAACTAATATAGAAATCAATCCACTAAGATAGAATATAGAAGGCCAACCATTCATAATATCTTTGCGCGTGCACAAGTAACCAGCAGTTGGTAAAATAAATAGTGTACCTAAAAATGAACTTATCCTCTACAGCCTACTATTTTTAGATAGCTAAAGAATACTTTTTGTGAGTGTGACCGAAAATGGAATTCTTTGCTAGAAAGATCTGCTAGAAGGAATTCTTTGTTTACTGAATAATTATTCGGGAATTTTCTTGTAAGCTATTTCCTCCAATCACTTTGACCTGTTTCAGTTTAATTTAATTTTATTCCAGCTTGCTTAAGACAATTGGTTACTGTAACATATATTTTAGATTGTTAATTTCGAAAGTAATCCAAAATCCAACTTTGTTGAGGGCTATCGTCACGGATGTCAAATACATCGTGCCTTATGAAACATTCACCGACAGAAATGCGCTTAGAGCGCAGAATATGGTGTTTATTTCAAATTTGGAAGTTCATAAATATCCACGTTGTAATCACGTAAATCAGTTACATATGTGTAATTCTGCGTATACGTAAGTTACTTTGCAAACAGCACATATACATAATTCTCATACCAATCTGTCGACCACTTGTGACGATACCCAGCGCAGCTGCACGTTCACTTTGCGGAAACCATCGTGTTATCAAAGAACTGGTTGCAGGTGTAAGGCATGCGTCCGCTGCACCAATTGATAATCTTGCAGCAATTGCATACCATACGCTTTCATGTGCCATTATTGGTAGAACTGCATTGGCAATCGCACACAACAATAAACTACCACCGATCATCCATTTACCGTTTATCCGATCGGCCCACAATCCCGTTATCACCATCAGAAGTGAACCAACATTTTGCGCTGCTAATATTATGCCTTCCTAAATTTTTAAAATGTTTCAAACGAAACTTTAAATTTTCTTTTCGTTACATGGACATTGCAATAAGCAGGAAAAGTTATATGTGCAGATGTAGCGGGTTAGTAATGACATAATTTCGCTTTTGGGAACAAAACCTTAATTTGATTTGCGATGACGTCATTGAAGTTCTATATGTCCATGATAAGAGCGACAAAAAAGTTTAATGGTTGACATTAATTATTACCTGTTCACTTTGCCATTGCAGATCACCTTTATAACCATTTATGGTACAGGAAGTCATGCAGATCAGTGCTACAGCCATATTTGATGTACTTACTGAAAGTGCAATGAAACAGCAGCATAAGAGAGCAGCAACCAATAACCTGGAATTCGAACCTAGATAATTCATTCTGGGAAGAAGTAGTCATGTTAGAGATCAATTAATATGTAGAAATTAATTTGTTGATTGATGTTTAAATGGAAAATTATCACTCAGCATGATGATCGTTTTGAGGCGATAGCAAGCAGTTTTTTTTCTACAGGTTACTTGAAAAAGTTACAAAGTTCAGCCTTTTTCTAAAGTACTTGAAATTGTGTGAATTTTTTTAAGATTATATTATGTTTACATATAATTTTAAAAAGAATTTAAAATTATGTAAATAAAAATATTTGCTTTCAATTTTTAAAATGTAAGCCGTTACATAATATGCACAGTTGTTCTCTTTCCTTCCAATACACATTCATCTCGTTGCATTACGATGTATATGATATGAGTTAACATTTATCGGTTAATGTTATGTAACCATATCACATATTATTCTGTTTCATTTGCTGGTTTTTTACATATTTTTGGCATTGATTTCAGCGGAATTAAGGTTATGCTATCGTAAAAATGAAGAATGAGGTCCCGAGTTAATGAAAAAAGATATTTTTAAGGTTATTGTAAAATTCAAGAACAACATATTATGCTGGAAATGATTTACGATAAATAATAAATTTTCCTTCATTTCCCTCATCCGTTGATTCCTTTAGCCATCCTACAAAAAGTTATATTAGAAATATCCACGCTTCCTTTTCGTTTCTATTTCGGAAGTATCCTATGCATCTAATATTTAATTCAATTTATCGCACACTAAGATTGATCTAATATCATCGATTCTAAAGATTAGAAGAAAGGAATTATTCATTGATAATGCGAAACAGGTTTTGTCCATTAAAATATTTCTTAGAAAAGGAGGCAACGGTGCACTGTAATGTACATTTGTTTCATTCTTTTTATTTTTCCCTTTCATGAACTATGAATATGAAGATTTCTGATCTATTATAATTCGGTCCTCTTCCTTCAACTGTTTTTTCTCCTTTAACATTTTTAGGACGAATAAATAAATTACAATCTAAATCTTGTCTTTTTTCTTAAAATTTCCTCCTCTATCAATCCTAGAAATGAAATTTAAAAGCACATACAACATTCTGTGCATTGAAGAACTAAGCGATGAATATAGCTGTAGGGCTGTATGATAACAATAGCGGAATTGATGGATTGGATGAGAAGTGAAACTGTCGAAGACAAAGAAAAAGTCAAAAAGAAGACGTGGATATGTTGTAAAAATTACTGCTTCAGCAAATTGAAATATCATTCTATTGACAAAGATTTGTTGGATTGTTAACAAAATTTAAGCATGTTTTTGAAATGGATGTTTACAGTAAGCCAACTTCCTATCATAGCAGAATTCAGTCATCTGATACGCAAATGTCATTTACTGAAGTTAGAGCAGCTATTCCAGAGTATCGCAGGACAAAGGATAAGGGAAAAAAGTAGTAGATGAAAGCTTACAGAGGTTAAACTGAAAATCAAGCATTTAATTAAAATCACTATGATTGCGATGCACAGGGAAGAATTTAAATAAAGGATTGAAAATGAATTTCGCCGTGAAACGCTTCGAGCTATCTTTCTTGGCAGCATCTCCGGTTTTCTGGAATGTAAATAACAAATGGATAGAGAAGAAGGCATACCTAATGGACGGGAAAAGTACGAAAGGTCGGGAAGCATTAGTTTCATCACAATCGATAACACTTTCGCAAACATATCGTGAAGAATCCAGACTACTAATTTCAAATACGGGACTGTGCCATGGATGGCAATCAACGGAACAGTTTTTCCTCAGTTTTGATGCTGACAATGGATCTTGTACAGATTTGAAATCCGATTTCACGATACTTCGCTTCAATTCCATTAAATCTAACTTGCTCAGTGAATGAGCATTATGCTGAGATGTATTTGATAATGAATAAGCATCCGATTTTGCACCCTTTAACAATTTCTTGGATGTCATAACAAGATCCGGTTTTGGTACTATAGTAGACGACTGATAGATGTCATCCGGCTTCAGCGACATACTCTCGAATATTGCGGATAGCACTATCGCTGCACATTTTTCTGCAGCATCGCTGAAAACGATCACCTTTTCGTTGTGATCTATGGAGAACAAGATGGAATCAGCAGTAATAGAAGTTGGGATTGTATTATTTAAGTTAATACTTGTGGAAGGTACGCGTCCGGCATCGTCAGTAGTAACAGTAAAAATTGCTGGCTTTCTCGGCGATTCTGCTCCACCACCGTCATCACCACCACCAGCACCACCACCACTATCATCAATATTTGTGCCCTTTGCAGAGGGCAACATATTAGTCAACTGTAATGTGAATAAATCGTATAGTACTGATCGACAGCTCGTGTTTTCCGTAACAATACTACTTGTTTCGTTCCGGACACTTGTGATGGCCTCTTCCTGGCAATAGCTAAGCACAATGTAGGCAAAACGTATGTGTGCGTGTATGTCTATGTGTGAGTGTGTGTGTGTATGTGTATGTGTATGTGTACATGTATGTATACGTATGTGCGTACGTATGTATGCATGTATGTATATGTATGTATGTATGTATGTATGTATGTATGTGTATATGTGTGTACGTACTTCCGTTACAACGAGAACTGTTGCCTGGATAATCTCGTCCAATTCCTACCTGTAACTTCTCCCTTTCCGGAGTGTTTATGACTATTATTAGCTAGGTTCAATGATAGCTTACAAGACCTTTTCAACTTTTTTCTGTCCTTAATTATATCCTGTTTTATTACAAATTAAAAAAGCACACATACGACATTTCGATGGTAATAAATATATGTATATATCGTGATATATTCCGGCAGATCTACCCTAGACGTTGTGTTAGGCTTATATGCGTTGCAAGTGTTATGAAGTACAGATCATGCCTGATAATCCTGAAGATATGAATTGGTACTTTTTGCTTAATAACAATATGGCTATGATGGAATTTCAAAATGAAAATATACAAATGAATTTGATAAAGCATAAAGGCCGCTGCACAATGTATGGATATTGTTGTACGTGGTGACAATTATGAACAACGCATGACGGAGGTGGAAGAACTGAAAGGAGGCAAAGGAATAAATTGGTCTTTGAGTTTGCTGATAATTGCGACTTTTTCCGGAGGTTTATACAGGAAACAAAAAAAGTGATTGTGTAATGGGCTGATACCGGTTTTCTTGACTGATTTCGAAAAAGACGTTAAGTTAATAGCATTTTAAAGAAACAGCTGGCCATTTCAACATGTTATTAATAACTTTACTTTACATTGTACCTGATATAAAATACACTAATCAGTGTCCAACCAATCAGTGGATAAATTTCCCACTATTGCAACCTCATTTGTTCTATGACCTTTAGCATTTCTGGTTTTCGAAGAGAAGGGCAGAGAGGGAGGAAAAGAGAATGATAGAATTTAAAGAATGATATGATCTGGCAAATTGAAAGTTGATTTTCTTCCCATTTAAAAATGGTGATTTTCCGGGAGAATAGTATCATCATTGCTGAAGAAAAATAAAATCCCCTTGCAAATATTCAAATAGCAATCATATTACAAAGATATAAAAGGTCAAGAAAATAATTAATCACTTTGGACAACTCTAACATGGCTACCACAACAACGATACTGCTACTTTGGGGTTCGGTTCGAATCACCACTTCCGGGCTCGGTTGAGTCGTCACTTCAGGGCTCGGTTTCACTCATCAGTTCGAGGCTCAGTTTAAGCTGTTATTCAAATAGTACATCAGTTGTTTATAATATCGTCGAGGCATTTTGTTTGGGAATACTCACAACATTCCAAAAAGTTCATTAAAGCGGAGCGATAAAAGTAAAAAATAATTTTCTTTTTTCCCTGACAAGAGAGAAATCCAATTGAACGGATAATATTCTTTGATATTTGAGGTTGTTACAAACTCAATAAACGGCGATGCTCAATCTGTCGTGGAATGGGTACTAAGTTTGAAGTAAGAGTTTTATTAATAAATTATATTTGGCCGCAAATTTGATAAAAATTCCTCAGGAAAGTGTAACCCAGGGAAGGAACTAAAGCGTTCCGATACCAAAAACATGCAACATGCTTACAAGGAACTACCGCTCGGCAATCGAGTCTTCCCACTCAGTATGCCGCATTTCGAGAAGCAGCTTGAGAAAATAATCAAGCAGATGCAAAATTACTCATCCTCCGGCAAATGACTTTTGCAAACTGCATTAGTGATAAGCAACAACAATAACTAATTGTGTATGATTCGGTGGATGGGTTTATTGATTTTAGGCGCAGTTCAGTAATTTTAGTCATGTGACATATGACTAAAGATTTTAACCATGAATAACGAAGACGAAGCAGAAGTGGCGCACATTGTTGTTTTAGCTCCTTCTCACACATTTAAAATTTTTGAGACTCGGCCAAATGACTGGACAGATGACAACTTCAAATATGCGGCCTGAGGTGGAGTTTTCATTCGAAGCCATTCAGAGTGACAATCGGATATTTGTCCGGTTCGTCCGTAAAGCTGAGTTCTTGAGAAGCGTGGGAAAAGGACTGAGAGGAAGAGACAAACAAAAAAAAAAGGAAGTGGAAATGATGATAAAAAGAGACACTTTGTTCTTGCAAACTTACCCAAGGTAGCACTAACAACTTGGTATAACTATATTTCCAAATGCCACAGTCTCAACATATATTGGTAGATATAGAAGAACCAAACCGTTCATAAAAATATTTAAAGGAAATGCATCGACGAATGAAGATGAACGCATGAACATACATCGTTTGTAGACATAGTGTTACCAGAGTTTTTATTTAGAGGGATTTTCAGAAATTTCATTCTCTAACTTTTTATCCTTATCCATCATAAGTTTTGCCAAACTTTTTGGGCCAAATTTTGTGCTCTTTTTGATATATTTTAAGATTTTCGTCCCTAATTCGTTCAGCCCTCAACATCAATTCATGTTCTCGTTTGAACTGTTGATAAGTTCGTTTATCGTCTGATTGGAAAATNTGATGCACTAAACACGATCAACG